ATTTATTCCTGTGATGCAAAGCTGTATTTTCAGCATTCTTACTCCAGTCTTCAGTGTCACGTGATCCTTCAAAAATCCTTTTTATATGCTGATTTGCTGCTTAGGAAACACTTTATCATAAAACATCTTATTATTATCAACGTTAAAAACGGTTGTGTTGCTTAATATTTTTTGGTGGAAACCAATACTTTTTTTTCAGGACTTTTGGATGAATAGAATGTTCAAAAGAACAGCATTTCTTCTCTAAATCACAGTCATTCTTTTTTAGTCTGTTTCACTGCATCCATACGCTAAACTGTTATATGTTGAATGAATTATTCAGATTCTGAACATGTTCAAAGAGTGTAACTTGAGACTCTTATCGATGCCGTAGATGATCTGATTAAATGAACACTATAAAGCAGCAGGGTTGTGTGTAACTACCCAGAGGTCTCTGTCTCCCAGAATTCCCTTCCAGTTCAGACTGAGTAAATATTTGCAATGCCCTCAGAAAATGAGAGAGAGAGGAAGTTAGCTGGGTATTGATAAAGCCTGTGCATACACATTACTTAGCTGCAAGGCACAAGAAACAATAAAAAACAGAAGCAAAACATACATGTAGAAGTAAAAAAAACACTGAAAGTAATTGCATTGATGTCATGAAAATGAATGGATGGTATGGGAACAGACCGGGTCAGACGCTCCCAGTGATCTGCATGCTATTTCATGAAAGTAAAATGTCAGCTAAGCATCTTTTTTAGATTATATTTGCTTGACAAATTAGTTTATTTGCTTGTTTTAAGTTTGTGTTTTAATGAATCCAATTATTTATTATGAGGCAATGCATGGCGTCATCAAACTGCATGTCTTACAATGTCAAACAGCATAAAAAGAAGAAAAGGTTTTGAACATTTTGCAAACAAATAAAACAAAATTGTTCAAGATGGTGTACTGGTTTGATTTATGATCCATCTGTAATGTAATACACAGTAGATGCACTAGGAAGAAATGTGAAACATTGATATGAAAGCATCTGCTCTCCTCTAGTGGTCCTTTGCCGCTGTTGGCCCGGTAGGTAAGAAAAGCTTCCTTGAGAAACTGTAATTCAAAGCAATGTTTAGTCTAGCTTTCTTACCGTTTCTCCAACTGCCTGGTAAGCTTTAAGATATACCATGTTAAATCTTAAATGTATTTTATTATTTAAATGGTATTTGTCACAAATTCTCCAGACTTAGCAGTTTATAACAGTTTACATTTCCAAACAGCTTGGAAAACAACAGATAAGCTCGTCAGATAGAATATGTTAATAACAAAAAAATAAATACAAATAAAAATGAACATGGTTTGCAACTGGAAGACACCATATATATTTCAATGGCAATTAACTAAAAAAAGCATATTGCCCAGTTATTAATATGATTAGAATTATGTATATGTAAAACGAAAACAAAAAATATATTAGAGCATGTATTATGAAGATTAGTATTACCGATAAAAAGGAATATATTCAAATGTAATCATATATTTCAGTGACCACTGGATAGAACACAAATATTGTACATGAATATTATTACAGAACATGTAGATACGTAAAATGAAAACAAAAAGGATATTAATTATGCATTTTGATTATGATAAAACAAATCAATCAATAAATTTAAAAAGTGTATAAAAATGCATA